TCATTGCAATGGAAAAGATTTCATCATCCCAGTTACTATGCATAGAGTTGAAAATGAGCTTGAGGTACATCATGTTAATGCAATTCCATCTATTTCTGAAGAGACGGATACAGAGTTAAAAAAAAAACGCATGAGCTATGAGGAATTAGAAAAATCACTATATATTACTCTCAAGTCTAAGGCTGAAATAAATGATCTTTGTGAAAAGTTGCAAATGCGTTATGAAAAGTTACTCTTACGGAGTAAAGATGTTTCCGCATCTGAATATATCTCCTCTAGAAATGATAGCATAAATAAAGAAAAGATAGACTAAGTAGTAGCTAATAGGCGAGTCATGTTTGCTTTATTTTTCTCATCTCTTCTGAGATCTTTTTCATATAATGCATCTAGATCCTCACTACTTATTTTTTCTGTCTTATTAAGTGTGGATACTACTATATTAGAATTATTACTAGGTATTGGATCGGATATGCGAGCGGATTTAGACCGAGATTTGGAACTTCTCTTTTTTATTGACGATTTTATAACTGAAGCCTCTATATTTTGTGATTCATCAGCTGAAAAGCTGACATGGTCAAGACCTTGTTGAAGACGTTCAGTATATTCCCATATTTCATATACACGACGAGCACCAATATGAAATTTTTCTGCCATTTTCTTTGATGCATTTGGTATTTTTCCTCTTGAATCTCTGATTTCCTTAATATCAGACTCTGATAATTGGGTTGCATTGGATCGATAGAAGGTTTGATGAAGACAAGTAACCATTTTTATGTTAATATATATTTTAGAAAAAAAAACATCGATATTTTTTCAATACATATTAGTTTTGTAATAAATCAATATTCATTGAATCTTATTGATATGTATTGTTATAGTACCAATACATATTGATATAAAATTAATACTCATTGTGTGATACCAATACTTACTGATACGTATTACTATTATCATATCTATAAGTATCAATACCTATAGATTTTTTAAAAGTTTTTTTTAATAAAGTATTTATTATTTAATATGACCAATGTGCGTACATTACGAGATATCAATAAAGGCCATCGACTTGGTAGTATGTATGAGGAAGAGCTGGAAAACAAGTTATACACTGCTCTCAAATCTAAAACCGAAGTCAATGATCTTAGCGAGAAATTACAGAATAAATACTCTAAACAAGTGAAGGATTTTAATCGGGAGAGAAAGGGATGGAACCGGGAAAGAAAGCAATGGGAAAGTGCATTTAGTAATGTTACTAGTGATAAACAGAAGTTACATACCTATGCTTTAGAACTTATTGGTGAGACTAAGCAGTTGAAAATTGAAAACACTAACCTTACCTCCGAGAATATTCGTAAAGATCTTTCTCTTGCCAAATCCAAGGCTGAGAATGCTACAAAATCCAAGAAAATCAAATCACTCAAGTCTATGATCAAGATATTGGAAGGTAAGTTGTCTTCAGCCCAGAAAGATGTGATTTTGATTCAAAGCGACTCATCGAAAAAAGAAACTGAGATTGCGTCTCTCAAATCCAAAATAGCTGAATTAGAAAATATAAAGAGCGAATTGGAATCGAAGGTCAATGAGCTTGAGTATTTGAAATCGGAGGCTATATCGAAACCCATAGTTGGTGGAGATGACGAAAAAAATACGCAGAGCGAGGAACAAAGTTCCATAACCAAGTCTGACGATATATCTACAGTATTGCAAAACAGACCGTTAGGCGATTCTTCAAATCATGACGCTTACGTGTCTAGTGAGGAATCAGAGATTCGAGGCTATGCCTCATCCAGTAAAGATCTCAGTCAATATTTTCTACGCAGAAAAAATGATACCGAGATTATTCCCAAGGTAAGTGACGAAATCGATATTAGCAAAACTAACAACAATACACTTCAGGAAATACCGAATATGACCCCTTACCTTGCACAGCCGGAAAATAATATGTCCTCTTTGATTGAATCGAATTCCCAGGTGGCACATAGTGCCGAATCTCTGATTCCTCCGATAGGAACAATTCCTATTGTGGCAAGTACTTTGATCTCACCTCTATCGGCATATATCTTTCTTACCTTGTTAATTATTGCAGTTATATGGTTTGTTATATTGAGACGCACATGGAATATAGGTAGGCTCGAAGAGCCATTGCTCCGCAATAAAAAAAGTAATCAGTTGCGGAATACGTGGGTTGGATAATTTAGTATTAGAATTTCTAGATATTTTAGTTAATTATACCTTGGAGTATCACTTTTTTTCGAACTTGAGAGAAAAAAAGAAAAAAGAGCGCGAGAGTATGGACGAAATCGCTTTCCTGGAATACAAGCGAAATTTTGAGACTAAAATGAAAGTTCCTACTACTCCGCACAAAAAAGAACTGAAAAGTAAATCTTTGGCTCTTATAGAATATATATAACCTAGCTAAATAGCAATTTCCGGAGCAGAGAGATTGTTACATTCAGCTAGTTATACATTTTAGGTATGGGGTTTTTTGTCGTCCCTTACAATAAGTATACAGAAAATTTAAATCAAAAATTGGTTAGCTCTATTAATTGATTGCTGATATATAGCCCAGCGTTAAATTAAACATATATATATGTGTGTGTGTGAGTTGGTTGCCAAAACATTTTTAAATTCCAAGAACTTTCAACCCAATATTTATTTTCAAATATATGTTTTTTTCATACCTCAGATCCTAAAATTTGTAATATATATTTAATAATATGATTTATCCATGATGGATGAGATTCGCCATTTTTGGTCACAATAGCGATATTATTATTATTATTATGCTTTCTTCCTTTTTTAGGATTATTGTTGTTGTTGTTTGTTGATATTAATAAAAAAAAAGTTGTCAATTCGCAAAAGATTATGTTCATTTCTAACAAAATAGATTCAACCTAAATATTAGAAAACGAGAAAAAAGGTGGTGAGGTAAAGTAATACGATAAAATGAGAAAGAAATAGAGTATACTACTATTATTATTACTGTAATAAAGAATAAGGTTACCTTTGAATCATTTCTTAAAGAAGATTTTGACCCAAATGGAAAATAAATCAAAAAATGTTTAAGAATTTGTTTTAGATTAAAATCAATAAATTGTTTATCTGTCGAATCCTATTATTTTATTGAATAGATGAATATAAGATCTCGATATTAATAATTGTGTGCTATTTATCTCATAAAAATTTTCTTTCCTAATAATATAAATATCTCTTTCTTTTTCTTATTTTACATACCTGATTCATTTTAATGAAATAAGCTTTCCATAATAAATTTATAGTTTTTAATACTAAAAGTAACATTTGGAGTGCAGGCGACGAATAACTAATAGTTGAAGTTGAAGAAAATACTGACGGAACAGTGTCTAACCACAATGATAGAAGTATTGAATGTAGAATATTTAATTGATTCTAAAATATATGTTATTAATAATATTATTAGTATCATGCATGATAGTATATTATTTAAAAATCTATTTGTATATATAAAATATGCTGCACCTTTAAATCATTGACACGACCTATAACAGTTGAAGTATCTTGATAATGAATACCACCACCACTACAACTTTCATTAGAAGAATATAAATATGGAAGTAAAGTTTGTGTTAGTGGATGTGGTGGTGGTTGTACAACTAAATCATTATCTTGATTATTATTTTGTTGGGTTAAGTCTACTACTATTGATATTCCATTGTTTGATTCAGATTTTAAAAAAGTATTTTTTGAACGTTCTGATGAAATAAAATTATTGAAAAACCAATATCTTTACATGAAATAAATAAAAATTAATATATGTATATACTTATTTATAAAAACAAACCAAACAGAGAAACTTACTGATTTGTATCAAATGTGTTATCGAATAGTCCAAATTTTAATAATTTATAAAAACTTGATAATATCTCATTTTTAATCTAACAAGACCACCAAAGAAAATTTTTATAATGATTAAATAATTAATTCATTTCATATAATTCATATAATTATACATAATGAATGGTTTTCACTATTATTATCACTATCACTAACTTCATTAGACCAAAATTTTCCATGATTATTAAATAAAGATTTTGATAAACTAAAATCTTTTTTTAAAAGATAAATGGAAAATAATTAATAAGATCAATAAATCAATCAATTAATAAACCGCACCCAAAAATTATTCATTAAACTCACCAAAATTTGCGATATTCATCATATTTATATTATTATTACTTGACAAATTTGAATCGTTACTCAAAAGGCTTATATAATTAGGCAAAACCTTTATTTAAATGAAAATAATTTTACAAATCATTAAAAAAAAATCAATCGATGTTTCATTCAATCAAGCAAGGATAGATAATGACAATACCTTTTCCCAGAATTGATCTACTACAATATCAGGTGCTAACGTAAGCCATATATTCATAAATTTAATGGAATCTATACGTATATCTTCATGTATACTGGACATTGCAGAACATGTGAATAAGATAAGAAGTGGAATAAATGGTCTTAATTCTGCCTAGAAAATTGGAAACTAAAAAAATTAACATTAAAAATTAACGTTAAAAATTTAAAAAGATCAATGGCTTACTTTCTCCACTTTAGGAATAAATTCATTAAAAAATGATACTAATGTTTTTCTCACTGTCCTATCCTAATAAATAAATAATGATATCCTTGTTATTAACGTATTTATAATTAAAGAACTCATAACATATAATACTATATCAATAATACTTCATCGGAAATTAATCGAACAAGTGAGTTTATTGAGATGGATAACGAATGCGATAATATATTTGGATATGCATGAAAAAGATCCCCAAGACCCTGAATTGCATCTATGAATGAAATTTATTTATATAAAACATAATCTTCATAAGTGATTATATAATTAATAAATAAATAGGCATCAAAAAACCTTTTCTTGTTCTAGAATTATAATGTCTTAATTGCGTTAGCAATTCACTTAATGATAGTTTTCTTGTATTAGTTATTAGATTCGACTTATCTTCAGTGATACTTTGATTTGGTAATGATATTGCTGTAAAAAATTCAATTATTGAATTAAATGAATTAATCACTTATATTTTGTTTATGGTCAACACATTATCAGTAAAGGGATGAAGAGAATAGTACCTCTTGATTTAAATGAGGTGTTAGTAAAATTGCTAGCCTTTGGTTTGGCTTTACCAACTTTTAATTTTTGTTTCTAGAATATTTTGATATTTGTAAATGAGGTGGAGGTAGAATGGCATTAGCATTGTTAAGTATATGAATTATTATAATAGGCATAATAATATAAATGATAGCTTTATTAATCAAATTTATTAATATAAAATTACTTTGAAATCTTCTTGTTGTGCTTTTTTTTTACGTTTTGTCATTTTCTAAAAAAGTTTGATGCAGATCATGATAATCAAAAAAAAACCCCGCAATTAAGGGTAGGGGAATCACGTGCCAAATTATATATTAGATCCGGCTCAAAAATCCAAATTTATGCACATTACATAGATAAGTTACGTGAAACGCGTTTTAAACATCTTCAAACAAAATTAATTAGTAAAGATCTATAAAATTCTTAAAATTCTTCAAAAAAAGTTGCCAATCCCATAACCAAAGTATACAACGTATAGTAAAAATTACTCTTTCTGAAATAAATTAATAATTTTAATTAATTTAAAGCAAATTTTTTACCAGCTTAATGATAGCTTCTTATTGTTTAGTAAAACTATCTTATTAATAAAATATTTTTTATATTTAGCATTTGAAAATGAAAAATTGGTATAAATCATTAACAGAAAATAATATTAATTATAAATTATTTTATTGAAAAGATCAAAGTATTTTTGTTCATGATGATTCATATCAACTGAACACCATGGAAGCATATCAAGATTTATATAGCTCATATATCTTGTGGATAAAAGCCCCTATAGGCATGGAATCTGATTTAGAAGATGAAAACACATTATGGAAAAACTGGTGCTGGTTTTTGGATATCAGATTCAAAAATTACAGGTGTTGCTGAAGATGCTGAGGAAATGGTGTATTCTTATTCTTGGGATTACTATTTGTAATATGGGGCATGCTGCAACAAAACCAGACAAAGTGAACATTTATATTACCAAGAATTTCAGGGATCAAAATTGTTTCTAGTATCATAATTGTTCTAATGTGATCAGTTTTATAATGTCCCATTTGTTAAGTGATATATAGAACTACCCCTATATAAAAATAGTTAATATGAAGCTAATTTACATTAGGTCTACCATGGAACCAAAGAATTACAGCACCATTAGAAGTATTTTGAAAAAGGAGCAAGGTGAAAAAATTGCTCATTACATTTTCAAAATAAATGATACTCAAACACTTGAAGCTTATCTAAAAAAAGAAAGTATTACCTATGAAATTTATCAAGAGGAAAGAGTTTTCAAAAGAGTATTAGAGAATTCTAGTAAAGAATCAAGGAAAAAAAAAAAAAACTGGCAGAATAACTAAAACAAATAATTACTTTTTTTTCAACTTTGTTATTTTTTAATTTTCAATCAAGATCATCTTTTAGTCTCTTTAATTTCAATTTGTGCAGTTAGTTGAGTCTGCAGTCTCTTTAACTGTTCAACTTCACTTTCAAGTCTTTGAATTTTATCTAATAATTCTTGCTTTTGCTTATTATGCCAATCCTTTGAAACTTCTAAGGCTTCCAAATGAGAACTGATTTCTTCCTTAGCATTGGATAGTTGCTGTTTTAAGTCTTTATTCTGCTGTTCCAATCTGCCAACATAACTCTGTGCCATTATTTCTGTTATTGTTGGAGTTTTAACTGGTTCACCTTTCCTTAAATCACAGAAGCAGTCTATTCTGTTTCTCATAATTCGACCACAATCATTACAGTGTGGTAAAGTATCATCATCAAGAGCTTTTTTACACTTGACACAGATATAAGCAATGTCATTGTAATCATTATTACTTGTATTGTAAGACATTATTTTGTAAGTAGCAGTTAAACTTTCTCTTTCAAAAGGGCAGAAATTACAATGCCATTTATCTCCCCTTCTTAATTCATTAAACTGGTATTCTAATTTCATAATTTCATACTATTTATTCTTTTGTAAAATATAGGCATTGAATTTTTCTTTGGTTATTCCTTTTACTTGACTAACTTTGTTTTTTACTTTGTTAGTTGAGAGTTTAAATTTGTTTTCTCTCCTTGGTAAAACTGGTAGTTCTTGAAGTTGCTTGTCTGCCAAATAATTCTGCCATGCCACAGTGTTTTCTAGCAGTTCTATTTTTCTCAAAGCTTTTTCTAAGTTGTTGTCTTTTTCCTTGCTTTGCCTTATTCTCCATTGTCTAGCTACTTCAAGAGCCTCTAAATGACATTCAGATGTTTCCTCTTCTAGTTCTAATGCTTCTTCCAACTCTTGATTAGTTTGTTGTAACTCAACAACCTTTTTTCTAGAAGAGCATTCTTTTCTTTTAATTCTTCTTTTTCTTGATAAGTAAAACCAAAAGCTTCTTCATAATTAATGCTTCATGACCAAAACTTTTAACAATGTTTTCAGGAGTGAATTTATCACTGAAAACAACTCTTCCAATTTCAATTCCATTCTTTTCTGGATAACTTACTCAACCATTGTTAGGTCAAGTAAATCTTTCTAAGGTTCTTAAACTTGTTCCAGTAAACGGATAATGAAGATGGAATTGAAACTATACTCGCAGATCGCAATGGACATTCGTTACATGAGTATATTGATGGTGATGACCCGCTTCGTCCATTTATTGATTTTGATTTGCCTCGAGAGACATTTAATAAAATCGAACCCAAACTTGCATGTAAAGAGATACGAACTTTACTCTGCCGTTCCTTTAAAGAAGTTTGCCTAGAGATATATCCAGATTGGGATAAAACTACTTTGGCAATAGCCAGTAGTACTGATGAGAAAAAAATGTCGCTCCATATATCAACTTTTGGCCTCCGACTTAAAAATATTGCTAAAGTCGCAGTGTTTACTGAGCTTGTCCGCAAAAAACTCCCAGTTAATTTACAAAGCAAAGATATTGTTGATAATATTGCAAATAAAAAATCATTTTCTTTACGGATTCTTGGAACGCCAAAGTTTGATAAAGAAACCGGAAAACACGTACGTGTAAAAAAACCATCATGTCCAAAGGATGGAGATGTTTTTAAATTTATGCTTCGTCCACCACATGATGAATCGCCAGTTGTAGATAGTCTTATCCTAGATGTTCCGGAAATAGATGTATGGAAAAATGGTAAAAGCGAACCTGGATCCGAAGTAGAATATATTGAGAGATTACTTAAACTAGTAAAAATCGAAAGGATTTGATGTTCTATATCCACCACCTGTATCTCCAAATATTTTTACTTTAACACGTATATCCGCTTCACATTGTCCGCTGTGTAATCGAGAGCATAGTGGTGAAAATGCATATGTGGTTCGAAATAAAAAGACTTATCGCTATTATTGCCATCGTGCGGACCAAGGAACTCCTTCAGGTACAAAAAAGCCATCATTAAAACTTGAGATTAATGAAACAGTTGAAAATCAGAAAAAAAAACTTTCAATACCGGAAAAATTAATAATACCCAGAATTTCAGATCCAAATGATCGCTTTGTATGGGGAGATCTAATAGATATGTGTACATCTGGAGAAAAATATACTCGTAATCAAGTTTACGAAGCTATTCAAGCAACGGTTGCATTTATTGATAAAGGTAATCTATTATGGGTTTTTAAAGTGGAGGATGATGAAGGAGGAATTACCTTTGAAATGGTCCCCAAATTAAAACTTGTTAATTACGAAATAAAACTAGTTGAACTTGGAGGAGAAACAATAAAGTTAAAATCATTGATAAATCAAGCAGAAATTAAAGGTTTGATTACTTATCGTCGCATTGTATATCTTCCATATCCACCAAATAAATCTCCGCCAATTACTAAATTCCTTAATCTTTTCCCGGGATTTAAAGCCCAACCAGCAACAGAAATCAATCCTTGGATTATGGAAGCCCTTATTTGGCACGTAAAATATGTAATTTGTGATGAAAATGATAAACTTAATGAATATATTTGGAATTGATGGTCATTTTTGGTGCAATTTCCGCTAGAAAAACCTAAAACAATTTTGGTTTTAAAATCTATTTTACAACGTTGTGGAAAAAATATTATAATTGATTTTATTGGCGAAAAAGTTTTGGGTTCAGCACTATACTATGCTACATCCGATTTAGGAAAAGTTCTTGGAAAATTCAATAGTGTTATAAAAGGCCGAAAACTTGTCGTTATGAATGAGACAGGGATGGCTAGCGGAGAATGGCATAAATTTAACGATCATCTTAAAGCACTCATATCAGAAAATAAGGTAAGTATAGAACACAAGGGTGTCGATTCTGTGGATCTTAAAGATTATACCGCATTTATGGTTACCAGTAATCATGATACCCCACTAAAAGTAGATATAGGCGATGGGCGTATAGTTTGCCTCGATGCATCTTCACGATGTAGAGGTAATAGAGCATACTTTAAGAATTTAGGAAAGGTTTTTAATCATCCTGATGCACCAGGAGTAGTTATGAGATATCTTTTAAATCGTAATTTATCTAATTGGGATCCAGAAGATATCCCTGTTACTAAAATGAAAACAGAAACAATACGGGATCAATTACCAAACTCCATTCGATTCGTAATTGAGCTTATTTCATCCTGGGTTGAAAATCAGACAGAAAAAACAATCTGTGCAAATCTATATCAAAATTATCTTACTTGGTGCGGTAGTAATGGTGAAAATTCGTTTACTAGTAAAAAATTCGGAAAAACTCTTCCAGTAATTGGTATAGAACGAAAACAAGTACGAATAAATGGAAAAAGAGAATGGATATACATCCTAGACCGATTCAAAATAGTAGCTAAGTTACATGAATCAATTGGCGATATCGAGGAATTTTCAGATTCACCTCAAGCCGAAATATCCACTAACACTCCCACAGATATACCTATATTCGACGCACCCAAAATTGCAACACCAGCTCCACCCATTACTAACATGACCCAAGACCTCTTCGATTCTATAAAAAATGAAAGTTCAGTTGCTTTATCATCCAAGTCTACCGATATATCTCCGTCTCCTGAGATCATGAATGTAGTAGAACCTGTGGACGATAAATCTGAACCTTCTTCTGAAATCATCGAATCAATGAATGATGATCTCGATTTATCAAAGGATAGTGTACCCGAACCGTCTCCTAGCTTACATGTAAATGAATCTGAATCAAATAACGAAGTAATCCCCCAGCAGATATCATATCCACCCGGATATCAAACCAGGGAGCAACGAGAAAAACGTCTAAGACAATGGGCGACCGATC